TTAAAATAATCTATTTCTGTAACTTAAAAAAGATAATTTTAAAATATACAATAAATCATAATTCCCATAAAAAAGGGCACAGTAAAAGCTCTTTTCACAAGATTTTTTTTTTTAATTTAATGAATTTTACAAATGAATTTATTAAGTTTTCATGGTTATATATTAATTTAAAAAATATTTTGCAGATATTGTACGACTATGAGACATATTTTTCAATTGAAATAATCTAATTTGGGAACCCAAACATCTAGTATACATGACAACAAGTATACAAACAAGTATACATGAAATATATATGATAATCTTATTAAATCTACAATTCTTTTCATTAAAAATTTTCAAGTGAATTTTTTAAAATTTTTTTATACATGTTTAGTGATTTAAAAAAATCAAACTTTGATTCAATTTTAATGTTTTACAGCGATTTTTCTTTTGTAAATAACAAAATACTATATTCGATTCAAAGTATTTAAAAATCAATAATATTAAATCATTTTGTCTTTGACTTGTCTGGTACTCTATTAAGTTTAGTTCATTAAATTTTCAAGAACATTGATTTAGACTATTTTAAGAAAAAGTATTTTCCTTCAAACTGAAATTTTTTTTTTTACTGTTTATTCCTTAAAATTATAATTTCCTTTTCAATAAGGCAATAGCGTTTCTCTTTGAACTGAGATCCATTGCATAATTGCATCAATTTAAAATTATTAATTCATTGAAAGAAATTTTAAAACAATGGTGGTCGATACAATGGAAAGAAAAAATATTTTCGTAATTCATTACCAAAATTGCTAAAAGCAATCCCTTCGATTAAGTGAAATCATACTTTATCTCAAATTTTTAAATGACTGAAAAGGTAAGAAAATGTTCTAAATAATTTTTATGCATCCACAGACAAAATGTTTATTTATTATTTAAAAAATATTACAATAATAATTTTAAAAATATAATAGTGTATGTATAAATGATAATAAATTATTTACAAATCTTAACACCTTAAATTCTTAAGTAGGTAAAATTTATTCAACATGGATAGGGTAACAATGTCTTTTTATTTTGATGATTTCTAATAATTTAAATCCAAATTTTGACTCATTGCTTAATTTTAACATTTTCTGTTTTTAAAAATTATTTTTACAGCTCAGCTTACATTCTATTCAAATATGTAGAAATACATATTAGTGTTTGACTCATGAGTCTGAGGTTTTTTCTAAACTAAAAATTTTAAACTTAACTTGACTTCAATTCAATAATTTTTTTAAAATTTCTCTTATTTATTACAGGGTGCATAGCCAAATTATTCAACAAAAAGTAAACACCCTTTAAGCACTTTTCAAGCCCTCAAAAGATATTTTTAAGCACTTAAAAAAAATATCATAATTGTGCAGGATTGGAAAGTTTTTGACAATTGACGGTTTCATCTTGTTTTAACTATCATGCCAAAAGAAAAAAACTTTTGGCATTGTTTTTGAAAATTATTAAAAATCATGACGTTTTGAATCATATAAAGCGAATGGCGTTTTCATACACTATAGACTGACAATACGCCGAAATAGATTGGGGTTGAATGAATTGTGAAAACGTTGAATAGAAAAATGTGAACTGCAGCTTTCTGCATAATTTGCAGCTAAAATCAACATAGTAAAGGAAAAATCTCATTTTGAAAATGGGAAAACTAAGCACTTTTTAAAAACACCCAATGAAAAAAGCACCTTTAAGGGCTTTTAAAAAACGAAAATAAGCACCTTTAAAAAAGCTATGCACCCAGTATTAGATAAATAATTTTTTTAATATCTACTCTTCTATTCCCCCATTTCCTTGAATTTAATTTCTGTAGGTTATTGCAAAATCATTCAAGATAACATTTGATGAGTGCATTCTTTCACCATTATTCACCATTCATCACTTTACACCATTATTTTCAACAAAAAATTTCATATCTCAATAGTGCAAATTGGATCACAAAATGATTGTAAAAGAAATAAACACATCTTTAATATCAATTTTATTCTACCAGGTTTCACAGAAAATAGCAATGTGTTTCTTTAGAAGTTTAGAATTTATTGAGAGTCACATTTCCTAAGGACAGGTTCCCCTTGTATTTTATAAATTTTAAAAATAAATAAAAAAGCTCCTTTTAAAAATATATCTAGTGTAAATACATTCAGTAGTGCACTGCTTGAAAAAAAATCTAAAACAGAACTGAAATCAATAAAATAAAATTATTAAACATACATTACAAGAAAATAAAATAAAAGAGGATCAAAATTAGCAAATTGATGTGTACAAAAATGAATAAAAATTATAATTTGCAGCTTTACTTTTCTTAGTGTGTACTTATATTTTCATGTCTTAATTCTTTCTTCACACATTTCTTAAAATTATTTGTTTTATTATCAGTATTAATTATTTATTATTAATAATATAATATCATAAATCTAGAACATTGCTTACTTGGATTGGATCATGGCCATTATGATATGCATCCAAATGATGTCCAGGTACGGGCATAGCAGATGTTTTACCAGTTGGAGTCAAAGATATCAATTCATCTTCCACAAACAGAGCTGGAACCAAATCATTTCTTGCAAAAGAATTTAAATGTTCAACTTTACTCCCTAAAAATAAATTTTTTCTTAAAATATAACACTCAAAAATATCTGTGCATTAAATATTTATAATAATATATATATATAATCTACATTTACCACTATTGCTAGTTTTAAGGAAATATTTTATGCATAAGTTTAACAAAGAATTGTTTAAAAAAAATTACACCAATGTGTAAAATAAGTGAGAGAGAGAGAGAGAGAGAAATATGTAAACAACAAAAAGTTTAGTAATATAAGAAAATAACTCACATTATTAGAAATTAAATTTAAATATATTATATTTTATACGTGAGTGATAAAATATTGTAAATGTTTACAAGTTACTCTATAAAAACAATATTTTCACACAATGTAGCAGCATTGGAAAATTTTAAACATCAACAAAATTATAAATACAGATTAAAATATTGTAGTCGAAGCTTTAAAAAAAGATGCTAAGCTAAAAAGCATTTCTTGAAAGGTGTAATTTTTTTTTCTCACTGAAGTTTTAAAATTAAAAATTGCAACTATTTTTTTCATTTCTAATGCATTTTTCATAACTGAAAATTTTATAATGATTACAGTAACTTAACATGTAAACCACACTTCTAAATGAAAAAAAAAATAAAGCACTCAATAGAATACAAATGATGATGTAAGAGAAGAGGAAGTTGTGTTGCATTCTTAATTTGCCATTTTCCCTTCAGAACCAGTTGTGCTTTGCTCTCTCGCTGAGTTGGCGGCTCGCGCAATCTTTCTGAGGATGATGTATTTGGGCATCAGAAGAGCCTCATCATGCTGTCCATATGATCCTTCCTCTTTCGTGTGTTTATGTCACAAGTATTGGGGACTGCAGGATGTTATTAATTGATGAAAATTTTTCTGACTGAAATTCAAGATGATGTGGTTTTCAGGGCCGGATAAAGTGAAAACACAGCTTAAATTGTCAGAAAAGAATTGTTGAAGTGAATTGACCAAAGAATGTGATTTTTGTGGCGGTATTCGGTAGTAGCATTTAAACTTGCTGTCACTTGTGACCCCATTCGTTCATAGCAGTTACTGCGAGTAGGGGTCACTTGTGAAGCTAAGTTTTGCTGTCAGCCTATAGGTTCAAGTAAGTAGTGGCGTCTAGTGATGCTAACTTCTCCATTGTGAAAAATAATCACTTAAACTGCGAGATGTTTTTTTTTAACTAAGTACAGCAATTTTTCTTCATCATCCCTATGCTTTTCCAAACCTTCAATTTGTCCTTTGGACTTTTACTGAACAAAATGCTCACTTCTTCGCACTATTATTTCATTTGATGCTCCCTTAAGGACTTCTATACCTCAAGTTCTTGAATTTCATGATGAATGGGTAAAGGGCTACAATGGCCAAATGCAAAGCAAACCATTATGTCTATATGTCCATGTTACATTCATAGAGTTATAAATAAGAAGGAGTGGGCATTCCTTCCCTTCCCTGTTGGCGCGAGTGAAGTAACTGTCAAGGAGCGGCGGCCATGTTGGTATAACCAGAAACTTCGCGGAGCCGCTCAGGTTTCAAGAGGAAGAGTTAGGTTGTTTTTGATCTTTTCTCTTATGATTGGAAAATTTCGAAAACGAGATTGAAATAGTTTTGTTATTAATACATAACACCTTTTTTCATTCAATTTTTCAATATTAGTTTCTTTTCTTCTTCCCAAAAAATAATGTTTTAAGATAGCTCTATTTTACAAACTTTACAGCAGTTTTCGGGAACTTAGGTTCCTTTATATTTTATCTATGCATTAAAAGTAATATATTATTGTTATTTAAGGGGGCAGCTTTCCAATTAAAAATTTATTTAAAGAATATCACATTAAAATCACACTATTTTAAATACAAATAAAATAATATGAAACGGAATTTTGCTTTAAAAGTTAGAATATTTAAAGGGAAAAATATTGGTTTGTGCTAAAAGAATAGCAATAATCAACATTAAGCCATTTGAGTAAACACTTGGGTAATAAAACTAGTCCATAACCTACTGTTTATTACTAAGCAGAGAAGTCTAATTTATTTTTCTTTTGCAAAGCACTTCATATGAAGTGTACAAAACTGTAATTTACAAATAACAACGTAAAATAAATGTGTATTTATTTTTAAAGGTAAATGCCCAGAGTATTTAATATATAGGAATATTTATTTCCCAATTGAGGTTTAAACTCCACTCATGAAATGCTCCATCTCATTCACAAAATACATGAAGTGGTGAGCAAATAAATGCTCTATAATAAATGCCCAGGCATTATTATCTATAATGAATGCTCTATAATAAATTAAAGCTTTGACACAGCAATTGAGACGTTAGTAGAGGAAGGTGGAGGCTCAGATGAAACAAATTTTAAGGCTTTTAAGGAACTTTAAAAGATAAAATGAATACTAAAGCCTTTTTAAGGCACATAGAAATCCAGCAAAGTACAAGATTTAAATGTCAACACTTTGAAAGTACAATGAGTATTACTTGCTATAATTACTTGCTGATTTTAGCAGGGTTTGAAAAAACCCAACCCGCCTGGGTTTTATTAAAAAAAAAACCGGGGAAAATTGGGTTTTTTCATTTAGTGCTCATACACTTTAAGTTTTACTGTGTAAATATTTTTATTTATTAAAAAGTGTCGTATAAGCTTAAAAATAGAAATAAATCCAAAAAGTTATTTAAATTTTGTTATATGTGTTTTATATTAAGTTTAAATAACGCATTATCACTAATATATGTTTGAATCTTTTTTAGTGTTAAGTACATATTATTAATGTTTCACAATTTTTAACTCATGCATTGTAAAATATAAATGCAGTAGTGTAAAAGGAACAAGTTTATTAATCTTTTTGTTTTTACAAACATTTATTTACTATATTTATTAAACATACACACACATATATATATTATAAAATTATAATCTGTAAATATTTATAATCAGTAAAAACTAAAGTTTCATCTGACATTTGACTTTAATAAAAAACTGAAATAAATATTTAATGGTCTTCCATGTTTTTATAATAAGATTAATAGAAAGTGAAATTAAAATTACATATAATTATAAAGAGTATCAGGTACTTGTCACATTTTTTTCAAATAATTAACCCTAAGAAAATGATTTCATTTTTAGATAAATAATTTTAAAAAGTTCTCTTAAAAAAGTTTTAGCTTACTTTTTTAAATTCAGAAAATAAAACTGTTTAAATTTGTTAATGTATCCCTTAGTAAAAAAAAAAAAATTGTTTCTTTTCAATTTTTTTAAACATATGAATTAATAATTATAACCTGTTTATTAATATGTAAAGCATGCAACTATATTTGAAAAATTGATCTTTTCAGACTGTATTATTTAAATTTCTATTTGATTTAATATCATTAAAATATTATTTTTTGAAAAAACCCTCTTAAAGTTTTCAATAGTACTACAAAATTATAAGATTCGAGTTTCTTTTACTTTACAAATATTAAAAACTTAATCAGACAAATTTATGCAGCATAATAAATTATATATAAATAAATGTGCAACACTAACTTTTAATAAAAACATTATTATTAATTTATTTTATTTTTTAAAAAACCTACTTATCGTTCCAAGTGGGTTTTTTCAAGGTGGGCCCACTTGGCGAACCCTGCTTTTTAGGAAAGAGAGTTATGTTAAAGGAATTATATTAAANATGTGTTTTGGTTGTACCAATATGGCGCCGCGGTTGCGGTTAAGGCTTCACGAGTGTACGGGCATGCCGTCTCCTCTTATTTATTACTCTATGGTTACATTAGGCCAAAACAGAAAAAAAAAACACAAGACATGGAAGCAAAAATATTTAGAGAATACAACTGTTAGATGCTATTAATAAGCATCATTCTTAACACCAAGTAGGACAGAATGCAGAAAAAACGCTAAAAAAGTGAATGAATCAAAGAGAGATAAATTTTTGCATAGCATTTAAAGTATTGAAACTATAGAATGCAACTATCTTCATATGTGATACTCTTGTTTCCTTCTATTTTGATTCAAATGCGAGCAGAAAAAAAAATCACTTACCATCTAAACTATCACAGATGTAAAGATAAGTATTAGCTCTCTCTTCATCAAATGCAATAAAAATACCCTGAAAAAAAGTAATTAATCAAATCAATGGTTTTTTTTTAATCTAAAAGAAAGGAACCTAAAAAAGTAAGAAAAAAAAGAATTTAATAAAATTTACCTTATAGATTGTACACTGGTTCCACAGAAGTTTAGAAACATTTGAAGAAAATTTAGGTACATTCAATAAATTACTCTCCATCTGCAAAATAAAACAGAATCACTAAACACTGTAAGATTTTTATTTTAAAAAAAGGTGTAAAAAAACTATTTTTTCCTACTCCTTTTGAATAGAAAATTTGACAAATTAACATTACAGAGTTTTCACAAATAACCAAATATGTGAAAATACTTCTTTTTCTCACAACTTTTCCCTATACTCATTAACAGCTTCCCTGATTATCCAGAGTTAACTCATGTATGTATCTTTGGGTAGCGAGTTCAAACTGACAGCCGACAAAACAACCAGCACGTATACAGTATGTATACGCAGAAAAATTTAATTTGTCTTGACTGAAAGCCCTCTTGTTGGTTGTGGTGTAGAAGTTTGAAGAGAGATGTACCAGTTCAGGCGATGAGTATGTCGTCTGACCAGGAGTAAAATTTCTTGGCATTCCTATCACGGCTGTAAAAAGATAGAGCCCTAAAGATGGGGTAAGGTGATTGGCCATGTATGGGTAATGTATGCGTGACTCATTTCACAATAAAGATACAATAAGATTTATCAGAATGAGTATTCAAGCAACAAAACATAATAATTGAGAGGACAAGTGTAAGATAAATCTAAGTTCAGATTTACAAATTGTTGTTGAAAATTAAAAGAAATTTTTAAAATAGTTTCATGCAGTTTTCCCCATTCTATCACATGGGAGAGGACTTTTATTATATTTGTATATGGTTATTGCACTCATAAAAGCTACAGGCCATCAAAAAAATTGTAGTGTTAACTGTAATTTGCATTAACAACCATAACAGTAAACAATAGGACTTTTTATACTGAACTGCAATTCTTGTTCCTAGTTTCTCTTAATAAAACAACTTCAATTTCTTCATACTCAATAGTTCCCTTCCGATTTCTTGCATGCTTGAACAAACTGAGTGCATAAACCATATTAACTGAAATTTATTTTAACCAATAAAGCAGTAAAAAGAAGGGCTTTTTACACCTTATACATTTTATGTACTAAATAACTGAATGAAACGTTTGTTTAAAAGTAGTAAAAGTTAAGAAAATTTTATTAAGAGTCTGAGCCCG